CAAGTCACCACCTCCCTTTGGAGGAAGACCGTTCTCAGTGCTCTGCAGGTGTCTAAAAGGGAACTGACGGATGCCTTCAGGAGCTTTGGAATTAAGGCAAGTTCAGTGTTGCAGGGAGGAAGTCCTTGCAACACCGGAGTGCAAAACCATTAAAGAAAGAGAGGCCAAGGAGAAGCCTGCCTTAATCGGTTGCATCCATAGATGTGGAATGACCCCACGCTTTAAACGTTTTGTTCAAACTGAGGCATTCAAAGCACTCCCTATGTTCTTATCCAGGCACACCAGCTTTGTTTTGGGGATGAAAGCTAAACGCACCCCAAATACTCACCTCATCTGTTTTGTTTTGATTTGTTTTGTACACTTTTTTCTACCTCTGGATCAAGGTGCTAGAAATTAAGGTAGGAGTACAGCTTTTCATTCCCCATTTCTCAACTAATTTTTTGCCATATTTGAACCGTGCATTAAATTATCCAGACTAGGGACTTGACCAGAATACACCATAGCTCTCCTCTGGCCACATGCCTATACCTCCTCTCTGTGGACAGCTCAAACCTCTTTTTAGACTACCTACTTTCAACAGACACTTTGGGCTTCCCAAACAGAAAGCGCTGAAGCCTTTCCTAATTCAGTGCAAGAAAACAAATGCAGTTGGCATATTTCTCCTAGACACATTTCACAAAGGCAGCGCACGCACAGCTAGCATGTTTTGAAACAAACAAAAACACAGTGAGAAGAGATAAACTCAAGAATATGGCTGATGGCAAAAGAAAATCCTAAAGGGAAGAATCAGAAGCCTCCAAAGATGATTCAGAAGGCAGTAAAGGTCCCTGAGCTGCAAATAGTCAGGGGCTAGAAGCATACCCAAGGGAAGTGTCATCTCCTTTTCCTGTTTTTATAATCTTTCCTCTCAGCTGCTATCAGAGACATGATACAGGCTAGGGAGACCTTTCATATGATACAGGGAGGCTGCTCTTACATTTTTATGATTGATGAGAGAAACAACAACAGCAGCAGCAGTTAAAAAATAGGGAAGAGACAGCAAACTAGTTGCTCTTATCTGAACCAGCAGTTAAGGTCACTCGATTGTGACAAGAGACAGATCTTCATGCAATAGTCCTAGTTATATTGCTTATGCAAGCATGTTCTGGTCTCCAAGACAGGAGCATATATACTCCAAGATGTCCACACATACATGGACAAACACCTAAAGAGGAAACCTCAAAGAATAATTCCTTAGTAAGAATAGAACACAGCAACTTTTGGTTTGTTGTCTATTCATTACTCAATGAACCTGTATTCTTTTCTTAAAAAAAAAAAGTTATCTCCAAATAATTATTTTTCAGTTGTGAACCTTAGAAACTAGGCATTTACTAGAGAAAATCTGGCAAGAATAAACGAGTGGGTAGGCTCATGCACAGTTCTACATGGTTGAACAATGAAGGGTTAAACTGACAGATTACTTGGTTTTGCCTCCAGCCAAGAAATACAATAAAAATTAGAAAGTTTACTCAAAAATATATTAAAAATGACATGAATCTTAAAGATCTCAGAAGTCTTAGCTGTGCAGAATAGTATTACAAGCCAACATTTTTAAAATACAGGGATTTTTTAATAAGTAGAAAAAAAAATTTGAAGATACAACTGCTACATGCTCTTCATTTTTTTATTTAATCCAAGGAGTATTTTTACAAGTTATTTTATTCAGAACATGAAAAATAGGTAGCCCATGAGGAAAGAGCCTTTTTCTTTCTTTCCACTTAATATTTTAACCTTCTTTTGGGAGAGATTTGGTCACTCAGTCTGAAGGTGACTGACTGGAGATACTACTTGTACAGACACCTGCTCTTCCTGGTGTATTTAAGATACACCTGAAAAAGACATTTTCTTTTTCAAGATTTGTGTGCTATTTAATAGTGTCATGGTTTAACCCTAGTTGGCAACCAAGAACCACACAGCTGCTCACTTGCTTTCCCTCCCCACCCCCAGTGGGATGGGGGAGAGAATCAAAAGAGCAAAAGTAAGAAAACCCATGGGTTGAGATACGAACAGTTTAGTAATTGAAATAATAATAACAACAATAATAATAAATAATAGTAAAATATTGTAATGAAAAGGAAACCAACACAGAGAGAGGAGAGGAAAAAAAACCCAGGAAAAAGAAGTGATGCAACCGCTCACCACCTGCTGACCACCAGTCCTCAACCAGTGGTCACAGCCCCCCAGCCAACTCCCCACAGTTTATATACTGAGCATGATGTCATATGCTATGGAATATCCCATCGGCCAGTTTGTGTCAGCTGTCCTGGCTGTGCCCCCTCCCAGCTTGCACCTCCTTGCTGGCAGAGTATGGAAAGCTGAAAAGTCCTTGACTTAGTATAAACACTGCTTAGCAACAACTAAAACATCAGTGTGTTATCAACATTATTCTCATGCTAAATCCAAAACACAGCACTATAGTAGCTACTAGGAAGAAAGTTAACTCTATCCCAGCTGAAACCAGGACAAATAGCAAACCAGATGTCCTCCAAAACAGGATAAAAATGAAACCCATGAGAATATAACACTTTCAAGAAAGTCTAGAACATACCCAAGCAAAAAAAAAAAAAAAAGCAACACCCACACACCCTACACGCCCAACCAAACCATAAAATAAAACCCTGTGTTTTACAGAAGAGAGAGTACCCATGGAATGGTGCAAGACTCTTCAAAGAGGTCTCCAGGAAACAGGTACTAAAGGAGTACCCACGGAATGGTGCAACAGACTCTTCAAAGAGGTCTCCAGGAAACAGGTGCTAAAGCCTAAATACTTGGCACTAGTGGTTAACTAACAAGAAGTATTCCAAACAGCTGTTCTGCCCTGCTTCACTAGTGCGCTCAGAGCTAAACAGACATTCATCTGGCAACAGTTCAAGGCTGGTGAGCACCTTGCAAACATCCTTGCAGCTCAAGTGAAAACAAGGAGGGGGGGAAAAAAAAAAAGAAAACAAAACCAAAACAAGACTCTTACAGTACCAAGCAAGTGTTGCAAACACTAATGTGCTTTCCCAGGTTTTATAGAGAACAGATTAGCAGCTGAAAAGCATATATTTAAAAAGCAAAAGCAGCATTGATACTCTTGTAGCCTCTGGGAACAGACAAGGGCTCTACATCATTACTATACAATTCATTCATGATGTGGTTTACATCCATCCCATAGCCAAAGGAAAAGATGAGTTATATTTGTTGTATTGCTTTGCATATTCTTGGTTTCAAAAATTCCTATTCTAGAAACAATTGCTTGTGCTAATGAGGCAACCTACACTGTCTACAATCAACAGAAATTCAGAACTCCAGATAACCTACTATCTGTCAGAACACTATTTAACTTGCGATGTTATTTCTATTAATACATTCCCACCATATACACACAGGAAACTGTAGTCTCTTTCACACTTCCAATAATGCTCTTTATCTTCCATCCAGAACAGAATAAATAGCAATCCCCAGCCAAAGGTAAGGACCCAAAAGGTACATCATATTTAAAATGCTGTAGTTTAGTTACGTTCTAGAAAGTATGTACTGTTGATGTGAGCAACTTTCTAGATACTTAGATACCTTGATTTTCCAGACACATCACCTATTGTTTCTAGAAACATTTTATACATTTAAAATTAACCATTTCTATATATGGGACTGCTTCCTTATTTAATACTAAAAAAATAGTTTCCAGGTCCTTTATGTGAAGTCAAACTGTCAAAACTATTTGGAGCAAAACTACATCTTTATTAATAAAATAAAGGTGCAAGAGCAACCTTAAAAATGCAACTAGAGAAGTAACCTAAACTTTGTTTAGAATTTTAACTGAAACATCTAGCAAACACAGCTGAGTAACTGAGGGATCTTTTTTGTAATTTCCTTGTTCCTCATCCCATCTGACTGTTCTTCATTTTAAAAGATAGTTCAGGACGTAGTCTGCCTATTTCATTGCAGACAGCTTTGTGTATTAAAATAAATTAACAAATGTAACAAAACAACTGCTCAGTGCAGACATGTAGTACATGGATATTCACAGTTGCAAAGAATAGAAAAATACAGACTAAAGCCTGTAAATCTCCAAGTATTTTACATTAGTTTCAGTATCATTATCTTCATTTTGTAAAGGAAATGTTTGCTGAAGATCACCATGTAAGCTCGTTGGAAAATTAGAAAGCCTCAGCCCACACTAGATCTACAGAACTCTCTATATACATATATATATTCCTAAAGAAGTACAGAGAGGAAAACAAGCATCATATTGCACAATGAAAAAGTTCAAAGCAGACAAAAATGGAGGATGAAAAATGATTATTTCAGCATTACAGTTAACTCTTTACTAAAAAAACCCATCCCTCCAAAATTCACATGCAAAATACGTGAATTCCTCACACACCCAAATGGAATGGTGTTTACAAATGCTTGCAATAACGTGCATTAGCCTCTACCAAGAGAGTCAAAAACAAACTTCTGTTTTGCTTGAAGTAGGTCTAATGGGTTATTGGTTTCTAGAGCAGTCAGCAATATTATAAGTGAAATTTACAAAAATTAATGTATTTATACTTCCTTTCTTCCACCTGTGCAGAAGCTCACCCATTAGCCTGGTAACATCTCCCAAAGGTTAGAACACATACACAGAAAAAGCAAAAAGCAGATTTTCAACTCTCACTTAACCCAGATTATTGTATGTGCTTGACTTGATCCAGAGCTCCCTTAAAGTGAATCTTTTCACTGATCCAGTGGACTTTAGGACTGCTCCTCAGCATCACCTTCCCCTTCCTACCAGTGAACTTACAGTGACCGTGACAATCAGATTTAAAGAGTGGATTCCACCCAAGACTGAGTAAAGAAGGATGAAATAGGAATTAGAACTACTTACCTGAAAGGCCTGTATACAAAAATCCTAGTCAGCAAAAAAATAGCATGTTAACCATTACAATGAAACGACAAACTATAAGCATCTGCATAAAACTCAGGAAACTTCATACTTCTCTTCCTGATGCTGGTCCTCTTGATCACTTAGTTCATCATCATCTACCATATGCCCAAATGGTTCAGAAGAAATTGATACCATATTAGACAGGATAACTCTGCTATCACTGCTTCCTGTAAGGATCAGCTGATCATGAGAATGATTGTATCTGACATTCCAGACCCTAAAAAATGAAATAAAAAAGAACAAGAGGCTATTCTGGGCAGGTAGGGCACCAATGTTAAATGATTTTTTTTTTTTAAATTGATCTTTGACTTAAATGTTTTAAGTACACATAGAAGTGACATGGCTCATTCCAAACACTGTTTTTTGCCATCTTCATTTGGCTTTTAGGCTTCCATGTCATCTGTTTTCTATGAGGTGTCTTTAAAATTCAACAAATAAGTTTTGGGGAAAAAAAAAAAAAATCCAAAGAACAAAACACACTATTCAGTGGTAGCATTCCTTGAGTGTACATGCCAATTCATTGTTTAGTAAGTCAGATAAATATAAGTTCTAAAGATAAAAATTTTCCCAAAGCGAAATACGGATTAGAAATAACTGTTAAACAAAAATCTCACAACATTCTTACAGTAAAGTTTAAAATAGACCCTAAAACAAAAGTAGGATTATACTTCTCTTCAATTTTTACATTTTACATATCAAGTTAATACCAAATGTCATATGGTTCTTGTTTTATTCCTTTTCTTTTCATCTTCTGGAAAAAAGTATAAATGCTGCTTCTGTTAATACACTTCTTCATTCCCCTCAAAGTAGCTTCAGGGTCCAGATCTATTTTGCAAGAATTACTCCAACCCAAATTTTACGAAATACGAACCGCTCATCTTTTCTTAACCACTGAAGTCTGCAAACGTCAGACAAGATTCTCTCCTTGCTCCAGCCACAGGCCAGAGTGGTAGATATAGGCTCTAAATATATCCTGGAGAATAAAATGACTCGCTTGCATATTCTGGCTTAAGGGCTCCGAGGAGCATGAAAAAAGTGGGACTGAATTATTGAGCATTTCCACCAACCGACAACAGAAGGATAGATGGCAGCTGCTGCAACCAAAACAGCTCAAGGGCTTTTCTGCACATCAGGTGCAGCAGATCAGGCTCAATTTGGGAAGGCACACCTGTGTCCCAGCTGGCCCCTACAAGCCACATTCTGTGCTGTGCTTCTCAAAGGTGTACCCTATCTCCCAACAATGTTAACAACAGTTTCTTGCCAATTAGACTAACATTGTCTAAACTCTTCATTTACAATCACACAAGGAACATTCACATGTTGAAACCTTTCCTCCGTGCAGAAAAATGATTATTCACAACAGCACAAACATAGTTAGTTTGCCTTGTTCCTAAAGAGTAAAATAATTAGCTGAATAAATTACATAAGCCATCCACCCACAAAACAGCATGCAGATAATTTGTTCTACCAGTGGGAATGCTCCTCTAGTGTCTTCACTGGTTCAGTGACATTTCTTGTGTCCCAGAATTTCACCTTGCAGTCATCTCCACAGCTAGCCAGGTAGTACTGTTTATTGGGATTAAAGTCTAGGTCTCGTACCAGCTGTCCGTGTGCATTTTCTATGCAATATATCTGTCTGTAAAACACATTAAAAAAATTAAATGGTCTATAAAAAGCTAACCGCACTCCACTGACAGGAATCTGTTTCCCTGGAAACTTGCATAATCCCCTTCACACCCGCAGACCTAGAGTTCCCATTGCTAGTGCATAGTTTAGGGAAATCCCAGCTGTTAACAACAGTGACTTGTATAGATTTCTCAGCTTGCACTGAAGCTTTGCTCTTTCCTTGTTTGCATTAGGATCATCTGGAGCTAAAAGGAAACAGTAGTTCCAGATGATTCTAGCACAGCTTTCTAACAACTGTTATGAAATGTCCGCTACTACTAAACCACAATATTTTCAGATAAGAGCTTCTCCACCCCTGAGGAGTTATGCCATTTCTGTATTTATGACATCTAGTTCTCCCTATGAAAAGCTGAGATGCAAGGGAGGCAACAGATATGAACAACAGCTTTTTATTATTGCTCTATTTTGAACTTATCTTCTTGAGCTCTGGCATTTATCATTAATTTACCTGTGGCCCTTAAACTACTCAGCCATGCTCATACTCATGCATGTGGACCACTTCAGAAAACATTTGTAGCACTACTAACAACCTAGCATCCTTATTCAAAACATCACATTCCATCAGTTTGCCTCCATACCTCGCCTCTTAAACTTCGGGTTGTTTTTTTGTTTGTTTCTGCTATCGCATTACCAGTTTTATGAAGTCTGTACCTGTTCCCATGTCCATTCTCAAAGCCACCATCTACCAAAGCTCTGCTTAGATTTGACAGTTTCCTACAATCTTCACTAGAACTTGTCCACACTTTGTGAGCTTTTTTCTTTTTTTAAATGAAAAATGTTTCTCTTCAGAAAACACAGACGGACCAAAACTTTGTACTTCCTGCGCTGTATATATATTCTCCTCTGAAGACCAGACAGAGAAGTCTCTTACTGTTAATACCTAACTACTAATACAAAGCAAAGTAGCTCCATAAGGAGCGATTCAAAGTATACCAGGCCTATACTAAGCCCTATCCTGACAGCTATGGCAGTCACTCGGGATAGAGGATATCACCTTGATATCCAACTTCAACACTAAGAGTTTGAGAGGTTAAGGATATCACTCAAGTATGCCTTCCTACCAGGTATTCTGGGATCTGAATTCAACATTTCCTCTTAATTTCTTGAAACATCTTTATGGGAAAATTTTTAAATCTCGAGCATGCTTGCAGCAATAAAACACTTCTTTCCTCCTTTATTGCACCTTTCACTTCTTTCTTGCACTTCTTGCATTGCTCATAAGGGCTTAAAAAGAAGTACCACTGCCCACTGCACATTCAGTAGTGCTGACCATGAAAGCCTTTGGCCCAACTTAACTGTTATTCTGACCACTTGATCCTTTTCCTTCCCAAACATGAATATTCTTTTCTTTCACTCTATCATCCTACCTACAGCAATAATACCTACATTGAATTTCCCACTTACATCGTAAGATTAAGGCCAGATCACACAAACATTTTCTCCAGCTACTGGCTCCACCTTCTCATATTTTTTCTTCCATTTTTTTTTTTAGAATTTATTCTTGGAGCCTGACTTTCCCTCCTACAATTCACTCTCTAAATCCATTCAGCCTAGTGTCCATCTCCTCTGCTTCACAAGCTCTTCTCTGATTAAGATTGCTTCCCATTCTAGTCTAGGAGTCTTCCCACCAACCTCTTCCCCCCTCCCCCCCCCGCCCCTCCTTTTTTTCTTTTTTCCACAGCCTTCATCACTCCCTCTATCTTACAGCTATCATAATCGCACTCTGCAGAAGTAGCTATTCTAGATACTTCTTTAATATCTCTCCTCTCTTATTCTTTGCTGGTATAGCAGTTTTCTGTCCTTGATTTTTTTTCCCCTCATTTTTTGCTTCTTATACTGCCCTGACTTCAAACTCCTACCCCTAGCCTAACTAGTTATTATCAAATATTCCCATCATTCTAGACATATTACAGTGTAATTGCAGATGAGACTTATTCTTGCACATATTTTTCAAGTACATTGCAAACAGCTCTTTGGCATAGCCTAGTACTTGTAAATTGGTTCAAGGACTATCTAATCTGAGCTTCACTTAAAGTAATTAGAATTGTGGGGTTTGCTTTTGTTAACCAAACTACCCTTTAATTGAGGATCTTGTTAACATCTGGAATATCTATCTTTTATGAAAGTTACTCAGAGTATTCACTTAACGCAAGATAGAGATGCTTTTTCTAATGAGACAGAGCATGAAGCAGACTTCACAGTATTTAACATTTTCTACTTAGAAACACAGGCTTTAATCTTAAGGTCTGCATGCTATATGTTAAGAATAGGATGATTACAAAAACATCTCAGAAAAGCAACTTTCTCCTTTGCTTTCTCTAAAGCAACAAAAAACCCCCCAACTTTCTCCTTTGACCTTTCTTTCCTCTCTTGTATGCTTCATTTAAAAGAGTCTTCATAAATGAAAGTATACATGTATATATGAAGTTAGATTTTTATATATTCTTTTACAGGGCAAAGAACAGGACTTTCAAACCTGATGGCAAGCATACAGGAAGTGACTTAATTATTATATTTGTATTTTTAGCTTTTGTGTATTAAATTAAATAAACCTTTTTGGCAAAAACACACAAGGCTGGCAAACATGGGGATTTATTGCTACACCCCTGAGCTGGCAGGAACCATAGAACTAAATTTAAAGTCATCCCCCTTTAAGGCAACAAAAGTTATTACAAGACATCAGTCTTCTCGGTTTAGTGATAAATTACTATGTGCTAAGGGGATAAAGTGTATCTTAAAAAAGCTTGCACAGGCTTTAGTAGTCATGGCAACAGATGTGCACAACATCACTCCTTTGCTTATCAAAAGCACAACTGAGCAGGGGGGAAAACACCTTATTAGGAATATTCAAAGCCTTAATTGATTCGGTTATGGTTTTGATAGATTCAGTAGTTTCATATAACTAGCGTGCTACAATCTTTAATATAGTATACTATACTATTTGTTAAAATCAGAAAAGTGAAGAGTGAAACTTACCCTGTGAATTACCTTCAGAGATTAAAGTTACTTTTAAATAGTATGCTATGAAGACAGTTCATAGCATAGTCAGGACTGATGTTAAATCATTTTCAGGTTGAATTACAGAACAGCTTCATTCAAGTAATGCCTATGTATTGAACAAATCATCTTGAGACTTAGTACATAGTTCAGTAAAACTCAATATACAAGTTAGAATTGAAGCTGAAGGGAAAAAACAGAGAAACTCCTCTACTAAATTGTGAATATATCAGCTATGCAAGCACAACCATTCCTTTTATAAGTGATAGCTTTGCCACATTTCTAATCTTTAAAAGAAAAGAAAAAAATTGTTAGGAGCAATGAAAAATCCATCTCCAAAGGAGATTGTCTTTTTTAGAGAACAAGACTGCAATTTCTCATTACCTCATGCTTCGTGTATCCCATCCTCGAACAGTGGTCTCGTTGGCTGTTGCAATCTGTGTACAGTTGTGGTGTGGACTCCATCTTCCAGAAGTAAATTTTAATTGTCCTTTTCCTTCCAAGGCTGCAGAACTAGAGAGCTAAAATAATGAAACAAAGCTGGCAATGTTTCTAAATGTAAAGCTAAAATGAAATTAGTTCCACTGAAGACAAAAACTGCACAATAGCCTATTGTTCCAAGTGTATCAGACTACCAAAATCCTAAGATAAAAAAGAAAAAATTAAAAGCTAGAGCTGATTTTGTATCTCATAAAGTAATTTTTACAAAGGCTCATGCAGTGTAATGTATTCAGAAATATCAGAAGTACTGTACTACTTTATAAACTAAGCAGTTTCAGATCATTTGTTGAAACAGTAGATAGACAGTAAGGGCACACGGCACAAATTTGTAGCTGCCTAAAACAGACAAATAAACACACCCATTTAGTTTCATGAACAGTCTTACAAGACTGTTTTTCCATGTCAAAATGCCAAATTTTATCTGCAGGAACAGAATTATAGTGTCAAAGACTCTTCAATAAATATATAGTAGCTTTTAAAAATAAAAAAATCAAGGGCCAGGTGCCCGTGCCATCACATACATGCCTATTAAAATAATAGCAGGTACTAGATCACTAATCTACAATCTGTGAGAATTAAAGGTTTCAGTTCCAAAACCAGGCTTGCATGTCATTGAGCAGAGCACTCTGCATCTCCATAGTTAATGAAAAGAAGGCACAAAGTAATCAACTTTCTCTTTGAAGCTGCAGACACTGTAAATTACTTTTACTTCTAACCACTTACTGAAACTGATTGTTTAATATTGGGGGGGGGGCAAAATAGTTGCATTTTAATCAGATATAAAATTTATACAAATTTCAAGTGGCTGGGCAGACAGCAGACTTATTTGGTCATCTTGCAGATGATGTTCATATTTCAGAATTTTTCATTAAGATGGATTTCACAAAAGCAGATTACTGCGCTGGATCTCCTTGGATCACTTTTCTCCTTTACCTAAATCCTAACACATCATAAAATATTCTGTTAAATAAAAGATTTCTCAGCAGAAATATTACACTCTGATGGATGAAAAAGACTAACACATACATACTGCTTACATAAACTTTAACTGACATCAACAGAAAAAGACACTGTCAATACAAGACTGCTTAAATCTATTTGTGTATGATACCAATATCCATTTCTGTATTTTGCTAACTTTTTACTATTACAGTTCCACCAAGAATATCCTATTTATTTAGCATTCAGATTGACAATCTAGAAATTACAACTCTTCCACCACTGAAGTCTGTGCTACCTAAGATGTGTTGTCTTCCAAAAATTTTTCAGATTTTTTTTTTTTTTTTTTTTTAAGGAATGTAGAATTCCCAGCATGCAAGGTTACCTATTGCTCATGTGCTGAGTGATATAACACTCTGGCCAAACCTACTCCTCTAGCACCATTCTTCCTCAAGTACAAATACCGTCTGAAAGCCTTTCTACAACTTGCAGGTTATTAATATAAAGAAAAATACTGCATAGGACACTGGACACAGGATAAACCGCACTGTTTATTTTTTGACACATACTAGATTCCAGGCACAAGAGAATATGCAGAGCTTGAGTGGGTCATTTCAAAAATGAAACTAAGTTTCTTTAGTAAGCAGTCTTGGCCAAACAAAGCTCAGACCAGGTGGAGAGGAGAGAAGCAAATGTTAACACTGACAGTAAGAGAGTACCAACAAAAAGAGTATCTCTTATCAGGTATTTCCCAAATCTGTTCTTGAGACAGACAGCATCACATATCCAAAATAAAACTCGGGGCAGAACGTCTTTGTCAGCAGTAGACAATACTTTCTCCAGCATTCCAGCCTTTTTTTTTTTTTTTTTAAGTCCTTATTTCAACTTTTATCATGTAAACTATTATAAAAAGATCAAAATTTTCTTTTCAGCCAAAAGTTTAGCGGTGAGGCCAGCACATGCATCCTGCGCTATTTCTTAACAACACATATGAAAAATACACATACATGTTAGATTGGCCAAGTCATCCTTGTCTTCCCAAGCAATTCTTAAGTACTTGCAGGAATTAAATTGCATCTTTCCTCATATGGATGTCCAGCTACGTATACAGCCAAGTTCCTAATCAGCTCATGATAGACTGCTGTTAATAAAATGAAATCCCAGAAGTTACTGAAAAATTTTTTGTTCAATGTTCTTTTGCATGTCTTCTATGAGCCTGAAAGGAACTGCATGGATTTAAAGAACAGTTAAGAGGTAAGGGAGGGAAATGCTCATACATAAGAAGGAATCCTAATGTAACAGAAGGAAGTCTGCAAGACTCCTTCCCGGAAATCCAAGAAACAAGCTTAAAGGAAACAAAGCTGCTAGTTCAGAATCACAAATGCAGGTTCAAAAAAACCTTAGCTTTAGTTTTAATTCATACCTAAATATACGGACAGGCAGGCAAGCTTTCTTTTTATCCTGAACTCTTCCCTCCACTTCTTTAAAGGCAGAAAAGTTGACTACAAAAGGAAAAGAAAACACCACAAAGGGATATTTTAAGACACTAATCTCGCGTGAGGATTTGGATTTGTGCTGCCCAGAAGATGAAGACATACAGCTCTGAGGGCCTCACTGGATAACTGGATACTGAAGGAAAACAATTCATGGCAGTATTTTATGAACACAGAACGTGACTTACAGTAAGGAAGGGGGAAAAAAAAAAAAGGAAGCAAGTAAGATCCAATGTCTACTTTTAGACAACAGAATTAGCTATTGTTTTAGACAACAGAATTACCTATGTTTCTTGCATATGCAAGGATCACACATTGACTTTAGAAAAAAGTCTGGACAAAATGAAATCTTGAACAGTGTAAAATGGTTATCAGAATATGGATGGATTTAACACTGTTCATAGCGCTTAAGTGGATTAGTGCCTACAGCTGGTGACATAAGAACAATAATAAAAGGGTAGTATGTTGTTATGCTATAATTGCATGAGAGCAATGATTTGAAATAAAAATGAAAGGTTCTGAAAAAAATTAAGCAATGCAATATGATCGGAATAGAAATGTATGTGTTATCCTCAGTGAAGGAAGGGGTTTTACAAAAGCAAAGTATCTGAATATGAAAAAGCCTATCCTAGCTTTGAAGGACTGATTTCTGTGTATTCAAATGAAAACATCAATTACTCCAACTTATTTTTATCAAAACATCAGTAAGGACTGAGATGCCTCTTTTTCTCCTTCAAATATTGATCTTGTAAGGACTGATTTGGAAAGAGGAAAGGATAGGCAGTATCCTTAAAAAAAACCCCAAACCCAAGATGTATTAACCTCTAGAGGGTACAGAAATTATCTAGAAAAATCACAAGCAGCATGGAGGCAGTGAACCAATTGTTCATACTCTCTTCCAAAAAGAGAGCTATGGGCCATCAAATGAAGCCTGCAGAAGTCAGATTCAACAGTAAACAAAAGTAAGTGGTTCTCCACCCAATGGGCTCCTTGACCAAAGACACTTGAATGAATAAAGCTTACTTATGTCCAAGAACAGAATAGGAAAGTACTTGGAAGAAAGATCTATTGAGGGTTACACTAATTAGACAAACCCAATCAAGCTCAGAAAAATCCTTGGACTGAAAAGAGTAGAAGACTGTCTGAGTGTTAAGGGTTAAGTATCCAATGCATCTGGTCCACTGAACTTTTCCTTGGACTCTGCTATGGCCATTGTTTCAAGCAGAATACTGGGGCTGGATGGACTCCGGTATGGACCAGCGTAACCATTCTTAGAACTGAGCAGCATGAAGCAGACAAATAGCAGAATTTATCAACTTTTCTACTGAGACAGTGGCTGAGGGGGCTGTAATTTTCTTATCTCACAACATACTATGAAAAACAACATGAGAAGACCAGTTCTAAAGTTCTATAAACTTCTGGATGAAATGGTAACTGGAAACATATAGTGCTGTTCCCTCACTACACTACATTCATCTAATAAATAAGTTTTTACATGCATAACTTGGTTTGTTTGTTGGGGTTTTTTCTGTCAGGTAGAATAACTAAAAACTAATAATTATGTCATGCATTTGGAAGTTCAGTTGTTTCCCTCAAACAGACTTTGACACAAACCATTAGAAAACATCTCCCAAGAACAAAATATTTAGAAAATAGAGAATGTTCTAATGCTCTAATTTGATTAATTTCTGGATAACAAAAAAAGTACCAAATTAAAGTAAATGCTACATTTCTTAGTACGTATAAATAGTTACCAGTGACACTCAAGCAATGTTCTTATAAGAAAATAAAGGCTAGCATAAAAACGTTAAAAATACGAAGTTTTCTTTTCTGTTAATTAAAATCAATCCACTTGGTAAAGTGTGTAATATTAGCACACAGATTAGTATCTTAGTTCCAAAATTTTCTCGTTTGAAAAAACAGGATTATCAGTCATTATATAGGGAGAGCCAAAGGTGCAAATTTCTATGTAAAGGCTTAACAACTGCAGCAATCTACTAAATATTTATCAATACATTGATAAATGTATTTTCTTTAAAGAAATTACTTTCTTTCCTTTCTTGACAAAAATGGCCGTTACAATTTGAACTATGTAAAATATATTAAGTGGGTTTTTTTTTTTAAACACTTAAAAGTTATTTGAAAGATAAAAAACCAGAAATCTTTTACTTGATAAATGAGAAAACATGTCTTTTGACTTCTGAATGCCTTTTTTTTTTAAATAAATGTGTATTTAATAACTTCAGTTTTCTTACCCCTACAGCAGCAGCTGTGTTTTAAACAGAATAAATCACAAAAAAACACAAAAAAGTGAACACTAAGGAACTCTCACTTCTTACCCGAAAGGTTGCAAGACTAAAAATCTGACAGATGTTCAAGTGCATTCTAGACAAGACCACTAAAGAAGCCATTATTCCAGTCATGAAATATTCATAGGCTTATGCAGCATATGTTTATTTGATCTTGACTGCCTCCTCAGTGAAGACGGGGTAGTGAAGACATCTTAAACAATTAAGTCCATAAATATTTAGAATTTCTAAAGAGTATCAACTGAAAGAAGTTAACTCATGGTAGCGATTACTAAACTC